AAAACCTAACCCACTCACAGCCACCCTGAAACCTAACCCACTCACAGACACCCCCCCAAAACCTAACCCACTGCTGCGGCTCAGAGCCACCTCGTTCATCGTGACCCTCCAGGACAGCGCAGAGCTGTCCATCCCTGTGGGCTTCAGAAACGGGAAATCTGTATGTGAGCAGACAGCCTCCTCTTTCTCCCGCAGAGTGGCTCCTGGGTTGGAACCACCTATCTTTCCGTCAGCAGCCCAATGCCTAGCCCACGACACCACCAGGCAACCTCTAACAGAGGTAGAGCTCGTCACCAAGTGGCTTTGAGGCCTGGAGAGAGAGAAGGGGCTTTCTGTTCCCTCCAAGAGCTCCTGTCTCAAACTCGCAGGGGCAGTTCTGCACTGTCCTATGGGTTCTGACGAGTCGGAATCCACTCCAGGACAGTGAACTTGGGGCTTTCTGAGAGTCAGAATCGACCACAGTGGCAGTGGGTTTGGGTTGGAGCCGTGTTTGCCGAGGTGGGTGATTCCTGGGACCACCATGAGCCGAATGGACACAGCAGTGACCAGCAACCCAGCCTGCCACCCGGGGGTCACTGATGGTCCGCTCGCTCAGGAGAAGGCTCACTGTCCAGAGGCGACTGCGAGCCCACCGGGACAGTGATGGGAAAGGCACTCCTCCCCAGGGGCAGCAGCTCACGTACCGTCACGGTTCCAATACCTTCGAGGTACACAGCCCCCGAACGCAGGGAACTTTTGATAAGGCACATGAGAAATGCTGTGCAGATGGTAAAGTCCCCTGCAATCTTGCATTTCAAAATCTATTTTTATACGCACATTAAGTGCACATCTTTGTGGTTCCTTTGAACAAACACAGCCTGTGCTGTAAATGAAGAGGCGAAGGGGGAGGCGTAGAAGGAGGGCTTTTCCTAGAAACCTCTCCACTCCCAGGTCATGGGGTAGGAGACCCCCCAGCACCCCTTCCTTCCAGCTGACCTCTGCCCCTGCTGCAGGGCCCCCAGTACACCCCACTCCCCAAGCTGACCTCTGCTCCTGCTGCAGGGCCCCCAG